AAACATAATTCTGAGTTTCATGTCACTGTGTTTTATGAACTAAGAAATTATCATTCTTGTGTCTTGCTCTTAGATGAGTAAGACCTAATTATGCATTTTTATGAAAATATAACTTGTAAAACACAAACACACTTCTGCCTCATGTTTAACCCAAAATTCAAATACATATAAACATTCCTACAGTTCAAAGATAAATATATACTACTTCTATTTCTAAAGCAAAACACACTTCCCCATGCTAATGGCTTTTGGGCTTCAAAGAGAACCTGTCAGTAGTCACTGCAAAAAACTTCAAAAACTCTATTTCTCCACCACGTTTATGCATGTATCTTAAAACAATTTTTACTATTTAAGTAAACAACTTCAAAAAACAGTTAGTAAGACCATCTCCTGAACCTGTCTTTCCTCACTCCCCCCCTTTTTGTTTTCTTTTTTTTCTTTTAGTTGGAGGTGGGGGGTGAGGGGAAGAAGGGTTGTCGTGTTGTCTTTCTGCTGTCAGCGTTCATGCACTGAAACTGAACTGTTAGGTTAGTTACATGAATAAAAAGGCTTTACAAAAAATAAAGAATAGTTCTTAGTTTTGCTGCTCTGCTTTGGCTGCTGTTGACTTTGAGCTTGGTGTCCCGTGCAAGGACAAGTTCCATTCTGCTGTTCCCTAAGCATGAGCTATCTGCCTTTTTATATAATTTGCCTGTGACATCTACCTGGGCAGGTGTGGCCAGCACCACCCAGCTAGAGGTTTTCAGTCCTTCTCCCATTATGCAAGTGGTACTTCTTCTGCACCTGTGTGCTGTACCTTGGGGGTCTTTCCTAAATGAGTCTGCGGGCTTACTTCATCATTTTCTTTTTCACTTCCTCTTTCAAATGCCTTTGGAGGGCTGTGTACTAATAGCGAGGTACTAATTAATTTAAGTTTATACAAGATGCTTGCTTCAGGGATGAAGTTCTTGTTTATCAGTGCTTGTCCTCTTGCAGTCTGGCAGGAAAAGAATAAACCCTCACAAGTGGCTGGGCCAAACACAGCCCAAAGTAGCATCATCTAATTAAGCACACATACATTCCACTGCATGGTCTGTGGTTGGACCATGCCACTGTTGAACAACTCAAACAGGACATTGATGAAAAACAAGGAAAACAACATAAAATGTTCATAACAAATGAGCAACAGTAAAAAGTCTAGACAATAATATCTTTGTAATCATAACCATCTTTAGTGAAGAGATTCAAAGGGGTTCCAGTTGTCATTCTTTTAGACTACTAAGCAATTTTTATAAAAGAACTTCAAATTTTAGAATTTTTGTAATTTGGCTGCATAAGAGGAATTCAGCTTTTATAGTATGAAGTGGTTGCCTGCCAGTTACCAATAAAAGGCTGCAGAGAATCGTGTAGGACAAAGCAAGTAGTGCACTATAACCAGGCACCAGGCACTGTTGAAACAGAGCAAGGGCCTAAAGAGTTAACTCTGAATACTGATCTGGGGACCCTCCTGCTCAGAAGAATGTAATGTTTAGCTAGAATGTAATGCTTAGCTAGAGACAGAAACCAGGGCTTAGGGATTAGATGGTACTGTACACCAAAGAATGCTCACACACCTACATAAATAAAGATAGAGTAAGAACACAAATAGATAAGAGGTGAAATAGGGGCTCGAGTCCAAAGTCTTGCAAAATTCACCATGGAGTCAGCGAAAATCAAGAAAGTTGAAGAGTTCAGCCGAGGAAGAAGAGTGAGGCTGAAGAAACAGGAACGACCACCAAACATCACCCCAAAAAGATGACTCCCCACTAGACTCTGCCTATTATGAATATCATAACTAGATGATGCAATTATATGAATATGTATGTGAAAATGTTGTAATCCCTTGTAGAAATTGTATATAATCATGTCTTTTCACTGAGAAGGTAGAGCAAGTTTGTCCAGGGTGACCTGGCTTGCTCTCCAACGTTGCCTAAATAAATACCTTGCTGTTTAAAGGCTAAATTCTGTCTCTAAACAGTTCCATTGCGCCTTTTTGGGCATCAATGTTACTGCTTGTGTTAAATGCTCAGAGCCTGTGTGTTATGAAGAACCCAAGAGCATTCACTGGACACATACAGAGCAGGAGCCAGCCAACTGGAAGACTTATTTCTTACGTTCGTGTGGCTTCCATTAACATGATAGTAAATGCTCCATATTTAAGTATAACATAAGAGCATGAAGGAAAGTATCCAGGACGTGATCAAAATTCACTTAACTAGGGCATTCATTAAAGCAAGGCACAAGCTAGACAAAGCATTTCAACAACTTGAAAAAACCATCATGCTATAATGTTACCAATCTAGCACAAAGATTGCAGGCATGATGTAAGCCAGGGCTCATGGGGCGGGGATGGGGGAGAGGTCCAAAAAACATCAGCCCTTCATTTGCAGTCTTGCCAACTAGTTACTTTCTTGCTTTCTAACACAGGGTTCTTCTTCTGCGAGGCTCAGCACCTCAGGTATTGTCACACAGAATCTTGTGTGGACTCATAAACCAAAAGGTCTCTTTCATATGCTGCAGCAGTCAGAGAGGAGAGAGGGATATTCCAAACAATTCGTGCCACCTGCTGTAAAACTACTGAGACAAAATATACACAAACATAAGCACTGCAAAACAATCAGTGCAACAAAAAAATACCCCTTTTCATGAAAGGCAACAGAAATATAATAAGTAATAATCATAGCATTGTCTGGTATTTTGACAGTATTATTCAAATTATACCAGCGGTCCACTCTTTTAAAGTCTTTCTAGTTTGGATACTATGAAGTAAGTTCGCTGAAGATATCTCTAAAGCCAGTGAGACATCTTCAAAAGTCACTTGATTTAGAATTGTGAGTTTGTTTTCAAATTTCAGCCACATTTATAATACAAAGTCAATTATATTATGACCTTCTTTACCAGAGCCAAATGTAAGTTTTGATTCCAATTCTGATTCTTGCTTACCAGCAATACAAACAATATATACAGAAAGAATAAGTTAAAATAGGCTAATGCATGACAGCCATGGCTGCTGTCTTGATTAACACAAAGATGAGAAAAGCAATTAGAACAGTTTCCCTAATTTACTGTCCTGCATCATCCTCCCAGTCCCGGCCAAGCTCACTGGGAGCCACAGTTTGGCTCCACTGCTCATGAGAACCACCAGTGACAGATTGAGAATGGATACATTTTGATTTGTGATACAACTAAACGAATAAGGATCACCTGAAGTGATATTAAAGGCATTGTTACTCACAGTAATCACAATATTAGGTGCGGTCACAAAGGCATATGAGTGACAGATGTACATCCTGACTGAGTTATTATACCAGTTAGTAAGAGTAGACACAATGAGTTATCTCTAGGATATTTTCTTCTTTGTGACATTTGGGCAGGCCTTGTGCTGCTCAGTATTCACTGGTTTCCTTCCAGGATTTTTAATAGACAGCTTCTGCATCGGCAGAAATGGAATGCATCTCAGGTCTTTCAATACAAAGCATACATCCCCCACACCTGGGATCAAATTAAGGATTTTGGTTTGTTCTCTCTTTTCTTTTCGCTTTTTTTCCTCCCTTTTTATTAATATTATTTTTAACTTTTTTTTTTCTTTAAATCTCAACTGTAGCATGCGTGTGAAGGTTTCTAATTGTACACATGCACTTAGGATTTGGTGTTTGTTGGCCTAAAGCACAAAACGCATTATATAAAGAATTTCCTTTTTTTAAAGTTATCAAAACTAAAGTTATAGATACTTAAATTATTAAATAGGTCTAACAGTTCCACTGCTGTGCGTCCACTCCGCAGAAGATTCATTCATTCACCTCCCCACTTCTCTCTCTTCCCTTGCATCAAAGTTCTCCCCTTCTGCCGTGCAGGAGTTCTGCTGCTTTGACCTTGAGCAAATACAGTTGTGGCCTTGTAAGACAACAAGTCAACATTATTAAGGAAGAAAGTGTGAAAAGGAGAGGCGGCTGCAGATAGAGGAATGTGTTTGGACACGAGGAACAGTCGAGAGCTGCCGCAGCTGCTACCAGCTCGGCCCCCCAACCTTGCCTCCAGGGAAGGGGGGGGAGAAACAGCCAAGTGGCACACGCTATCACTGAAGGGTCCAAGAAAAAAACCCAGCTTAACAGATAAGTTATTACGGTACCATTAACAACACTCTGAGTTCACAACGACACATTGGACAGACAACACAATTAACATGAGAGTTAACAGAAATACAGTAAGGCAGGTACACTCCCTAGCCTGTCCCCCCTCTCAACAAGAAGTAATGCAGCCCTGCAGGAGTTGTAGCACTTCTCTGGGGCTGCTCTGTTCCCGTTCCCCTCCAGGGTCGCTCTGTTCCTGTTGTTTTCTTGCACTGCTGCTGCTGGGCTGCCCTCTCGTCGGCTCCCGGGCGCTCCTGCCCTACCCACACAGCCAAAAAGTCTCATATTAGCAGCGAGGGGGAGGGGGCCTTCTCCCTTCACTGCCTCCAGGGGTGAATTGCTAGATTTTTCTTCATTTTCTGGCTTGAAGAGTGGTGACTTTTTAGAAGCGTGATCTTTTAAGGTTTCAAAGACAGTTCGTCACAGTTTCAGGACGCTGGCAGCATGCTTAAGAGAGTCAGTGGCCGCATCAAAAAGCACCTTCCTGGCAGCCTGCCAAATATCTATGCAAAATGCAGTCTGAGTATCTACCCCATTTCATTTGCACCAGCTACGCAAGATGCAGAGCGCTCGTTCTTCATACTCAACACCACGTTTCCCTAGTATTTTAGTTAATACAGTCACAATTGACTTCTCCTCTATAGTATTCTGCGCTCCCATTATGTTTCCAACAGCTCACCTTCTCTCCAGGTGTTCTGTAAATAATTAGGTCCGGACTTTGGCTCTCAGATCCGCCGACTGTTGCTACGTTGGGCTCCGCCGTCATCGCTCTATCCCCGCGGTGCTCTCTGCAATAAATCCAATTAGGGTTTCACCAATTGACGACGGCCAAGAATGCACTCAGACAGCAAGTTAGCAGGCAAGGTACAATGAGCACTTTATTTACAGCAGGTTTAGTTTCGTAGTTTTTCCTTCTGTCCACATGCAAATATTCCATATCTCATTGGTTATGTGTTCTTGTCCACGCGTCCAAGCTCATCCCCTCGCGTGCTGGCAAATCTCTAAATAACAGCTGTTATTTACTGCAGTTCTTTCTCTTTTTCTGCTTACTCCTCCTCAATGTTTACATTCTTTTACAACCTAACAGCTGTAACTGCTCAAATTCAAGGTTTAAGCTGTCTACAGTTCAGTTGTTTTCCCACACAGGATAAGACAGGACAGTGCTCTACACTAAAGCAATTGTTGAAACCATTCTACTAAAGCTGGCACAAAAGCAATAATTCTTAATGAGAGATGGATGCAACTCCCCTAGACCAATGCTCGTGGGGAGATCTCTGCTCTCAACCTCCAGGACTGACCTTGGGGGGGATCCCCAGTCAAGGCAGGAATCTCCACACACCCCCCAGGAAGGGTTCTGTTAGAAGAACCTGCCCCTGTGAAAGGGGACTGGCCCTCTCTGGTCGAAAGGGATGGACTGACAGTCACTGGACTCCAGGGGTTGCCTCACCATCAGGGGGTTCATTCAGGGTGGAAGCAGCAGCTGAAGCTCTTCCCGCAGTCGGGGCACTCGCAGGGCTTCTCTTACCGGTGGGTCCGTCGGTGTTTGTTGAAGTCAGACCTGTCGGTGAAGCTCTTCCCACATTCCTCACACTTGTAGGGCCTCTCCCCGGTATGGATGCGCCGGTGGGTGACAAGGTGAGACTTGTGCTTGAAGCCCTTCCCACAGTCGGTGCAGCGGAAGGGCCTCTCATCCGTGTGCATCCGCTCATGCATCAGGAGATCTGAGCTGGTTCTAAACCTCTTCCCACATTCCAAGCACGCATAGGGCCGTTCCCCGGTGTGGATGCGCTGGTGGGGGAGGAGGTTGGAGCTCCGGCTGAAGCTCTTCCCACATTCCCCACACGTGTAGGGCCGTTCCCCGGTGTGGATGCGCTGGTGGGGGAGGAGGT